TAGAAAAATGACAAGTCGAAAATCTCCCAGATTGAAATGGGAAAGCTAATTTTACTCAGAAAATCATCTGAACATCAATAAAAAAATTACTATCAAAAATTTCATTAGTATTTTGATTATTTGTATAGGAAAAAATGGTTAGATCGAGCTGAAAATTTCAAAGAATACTGAACTCACTATCCTCTACAAGATATAAAAAAATCAACGAATTCTGATATGTCTTACCATCGTTGGTGTCCTATAGTGACTGATTTTGTCAGAGACTTGCTCTTAAGATCAAACAGTGCAAGTTACTGACATGACTGTTATGATATCATTAATTCTATTGCATGTACATATGCGCTTATTGTACCGATACATTAACTTCAATACAGCAAAGTTAGATGTCTTTCATTGATAAATAGCATTGACTTTATATTATTTTGATTGTTGAAAAGAAACAATTCATTTTTTTTCTATCATAATATATAAAAATGATGTAATCTTTCATATATTTCTAAGCCATAGAATCTCACTGAAAAAAACAAAAGCTTTACATATACAATACGAAACTGTTAAGTATTCAAAAAAAAACAAAAGAAAAAAATAAGAAGACAAGAAGAAAATGTCTTATGAACAAAGCACCGATATATTATTTTTTCTTAAAGAAGATAACAGTTAAATCAATGTAAAATTGTCTGTAGCTACAGTAGTATTTTGTAATGCTGTTATATCCGGTGTTGGCCAATTACGTTGTGATATATTAATTGTTTTTGGAAACATAACAACAACAGAAATAACAAACCAAAGACAATAAGCCAAGAAAAATGTTCGATCAAGTACAAGTGCAACTTGTTTCCAATCATCAGCAATTTTATTTGATCGATCAGTATTTTCAACTTTCTTTTTCATATGTCTTAAATAATCACGAACTTCTTTTAAATCATTTTCAATAGAACGTAAATTTAAACTAAGCGCTGACATTGTTTCATTTGTTATAGAATTTTCATTTGCTAAACTTTGTTGTTGTTGTTGTTGTTTTTGATGAAATTCATGAAAACGTTGTTTAAGTAATTTAAGTTTTTTAGAAAATTCTTCTTCATGATAATGATGTGTTAAAAATATATGTTCAGGTAATAAAAGAGCACCGGGAGATGGTGGACCATAACGAGATGAACCAGTATCAGATAATGGTGTTGGCGTTTTTGGTGCCATACAATATAAACGAGCAAGATATTGAAGAAAAAAACGACGTATTGATAAAGGAATTGCTTGACGTCGATCACCACGAACATAAATATGTATGACAGTAGTAGCAAGGACGGCTGTTACAGAAACGACAACCATATTGACACAATAATAATAACCAATATTAGGAGTACCACCACCACCTGAAATCAATATAATTTATTAGAAAGATATGATAATGCTTATGTCCTGATATAAATCTTTTAAGATACTATAGCCTTAATTAAATTTATATGAAATAGATTTATCAGAGATGATTGATGAGTGGTAAAAAAGAATATTATTGGAAGCATAAGAAGATAAATGAGGAAATTCAATGTTCATCACAACATATATCTTCATTCTGAGTAATGACGGAAGTCCTTCAATTGATTAATTGCTTTTGAGTCGAGACTATAGACATAATGTAGATCGTAATTAATGATGAATATTCTAAAGAAGAGTTTGAGTTCTTAGCTTATTGTGG